TATTATAATATATATTATATTATTGATATATATTAAGCAAGAATATGTTCCTATATATATAAATATATATATAGATATATGTTGTGAAATCGCAATGTACATAACGAGTATAATAAATAGGTATACCGACATTAAATTAAATTAAATGGTTTAATGGTTTAATGAATTATATATTATTTTAATTTAAAAAAACAATTATCTTCTTAAAAATTGCAGTGATACAATGTACGTGATCATATAAATTAGTTGACTAGGTCAGTGGTCTTTAACCTTTTTGGACTCGCAACCCAATTTTTTAGGTCTGAATTTTTCGCGACCTACGTAAACTTTGTACAAAAACAAAAAAAAGCTACAATATCTTAGTAGTTTTTGTAATAGTACTATTTTAACTAAATAAATAAAAATTGCATTTTAGTAGGTAGAATATTTAATAATTATTAGTTGAAAATATATAAAATTCATTCGAAAAAATATAATAAAATAAAAATGAAATAAAATACTATACAACAAATTTAATGTGATAGTTGTCCTTGAGTTTTTTACATAATAAATTCCATCTTGGCTCAATTTGACTAAGTACAACCCGTAAATCATCTTCAGTTTCAACTTTCAAATTTATGTTGTTTTGACGTTTTTCAATTTGCCATTGTAGAAAACCATTTTTCACATAAATATGTTGTTGGAAATATTAATAAAATTGAGATGGCTATAGCTGCTAATTCTATGAAACTTTCCGTGCTCAAGTATGCCCAAAATATGTCTAATGAAGTTATAGCACTCATTTATTTAACATTTATTTCATCTATTAAACTAATTTTTATTTTAAAAAGAAGACTTATCACGACCCAGAAGTTGAAGACCACTGAACTAGGTAATAGTTAATAGGTATAATCCTTATATATAAAAGAACAGGCTTTTTTTATTTTTCATTTTGTGACGATACTATTTAACATTTTTCTAATTTTTTCACAGGGTTGTACCGAATACTCCTACGAGTGATCTATTATTCACAATTTAATTTTATTCATCATTAGTTTAAAGACCAAAATTATATGCACAAATAATTGAAAAATATGTTCAAATATGCATCATAAATTTATATTATTTTAAACAACTACAAACACTAGAACAAATAAAACAAATAAATATAACAAAATTAAGAATGTTGGACCTTTCAACATCTAAATATATAAACAAAAAAAATAAATATAAAAAAAACATCATTATATGTTTTTAAAACAATTTAAACAAATAAAATATATCAAAATTTGCAGTATTGCCAATAAATGAATGTTAAATTTTATCCCAACTTTAAAATTAATTTGATTTGTCAGATAATAGTTTATCAACACGGTATCAAACTAGAGAAAATAATAAAATTCTATACTGTGTTAGCGGTAATTGTTTTTACCAGTATGGCAGTATTTAAAAATTATAATTTCCAAAATAAAACATGAAATAATTTGAATATTTACTAAAATTGTAAAAAATATGCATTTTATATACATTTATGAAAAAATATGCCCCAACCTTCCAAATATGCCATTTTATGAAAAATTAAATTTGGTCTATGGAAATGGAATCAATTGGGTCTGAATCACCCACATTTCAAACCTTTGTAAAGTGCATAAACTCAATATTCTGAACATACAAATACATAAAATTCTGGTCTCTAGCATTCATTACAGTCATTTTGAGAAATCACAAATTACACATGGGCGAAGCTGGGTAATTCATCTAGTATTATATTTAATGTATAAATTAAATTGTTTATTTGTAGTTGACTGAAACTATTATATGACGAAAATTAGGTTAAAAATTGGTAAGATTTAATTATTTAAATATAACTATAGATACACAAGACACATTAACTTAGTACTACAGTAAATGTTCACTCAGTATTTAAGTTGGTACTTATTTATATTATATAGGTGTATTTTAGAATCTATTATTGTATCATTATGTATTTTATAGATTACATATTTACATATATAAAGGTACCTAAATTAACTGAATTAACAAATTAACTGTTGATTGATCACATTGCAAGTATCCAATAAATACCCATTATATATTTATATAGGTACTTTTATTAAATCCTAGTATAATATAGGTAATGGCAAGGGCATCCTCAAGGTGGGGGGCGAATGGAGCAGTCGCCCCCTCCATGACCTCTATTTTCTTTCTTAAAATGTTCATAATTTATATTAAAATATAGTAATTGGTGTATTTTCATATATATATATAGGTGATGTATGAAGTTCGCCCCCCCCCCTATAAAAGAGTCTAGGGATGCCACTGGGTAATGGTGTAAAATAAAATAATGAGTACACGATATGAACATAATATTATTTACTATTTATGTAACCATAATGGTTATTAATAAAATCAGTTTATTAACTAATTATAATAAATTATATGTATACTGTATAGATACTATATGTCTATATATATGATACACATCTAATTAACATGGTTTCAATCAGTGGTCTGCTGAAATAGACTTTTTTAAGGCAATTACCTTAAGACCAAAATGGGTGGGTGAGTATAGGTGGGTACTGATTTAGTGCGATAAAAAAGGTTTAAAAATAATATTTATGTTATAAAAAAAAAAAAAAATGTAAACTAAAAGCTGTTGGTGTATGGGTGGTGAAATGGTGTCTCTAGTCAGAAACAATAACGTTATTGGTTTCAATAGCTTCATATTAGATAGGTATGACATTAATTTTGTACGATGATGGTTGTTTTAAAAAAAATTAATTCAAAAATATTATTTAAGTATAATACTCATTGAACTTTATATAGCATATTATTTGGTAAATATGTTTATATTTAATTGTGTATAGGAACTGAAAGATGAAAAAAAAACGAAAAACCTCTACCCGTTAAACGTGGACCTATGTCATGAGGAAGAGATCATACGAGCGTTTCAATGGGTTGAAGAAACGTTCGGCGGCGTTGACGTACTCATAAACAACGCTGGCGTCGGCGGACAGTCTACACTCATAGGTAAATGCATACATTAACTATCAAACGATGTTAAATAAATAAACGTTGATACCTAGTTTATAGTTACCAGCAGCAATCGCTGTGTTCTAGCCGAACAGTGCTATCTCTGAAAATTCCGTCAGCAATTTAAAACATGAGTTTTGATAATAATATAAGTTCACTCTTATTTGTTAAACATTAATGTTTAAAAAAACTTTAATACGAGTAATACAATTAAAGCTGTATGCAATATATACTATATTGTATATTTGTATATGTATAGTAGGTACCAAAGTCGCCACTTATTGGACTCATAATGGACTTATTTGCCTATTGAACTCAAATAACTGCCTAGTCCCTATTTAAATATTACACGTATACATAGGAAAAAATCGGCTATTGAAATCATGACATTGATAAATGGGTCAATGTAAATTTTTTGTCCATCTTTCTGATTTTGTACATATTTTAAAATCAAATATAAAATAACACTTTTAAAGAAAAAAAATATTTTTTTTTTTATTTTAACTGTAATATATTTAATTTATTTTTCTTATATGAATGACAAAATACATTTAAAGTATATAAGTAAATAAATTTATATACATAATGAATATTTATTATCATTTATTAGGAGGTACATGGCCAAATTCAATTTTTTGTTACAATACATACCTAATGGATGTATATTTTTTACTCTTGGATTCTTTTCACCTTATTGACTTATTTAATTAGATTAAGTTTGGTTAAATAATAAATATCTATTCTGGACCCAAAATGAGTCCAACAATTAGAAAATACTACAAGTTTATGCTTGTATAGTATATACACTGTATACTAATTGTATTTTGTAAAAGTATATTTATGTAGAAGACAGAGCTAAATATTACCTATCACTATACTCCTGGTGAAATCGAAATACTTATAAATACAATAGTACAGAGTACCTAACAGTAATATGTATTTTACAATTATTTTATGTGTACTAAGTACCTACTACTTACACAATAGTATGATACAACATTTAATATTTCAAATTATTATTTATTACTCATTGTCACACTAGATTAAATATATAAAGGTTCCAATGGTACTATTACTATACAGACATACAGTGATAAATTTATTTAAAAACCATCGTTAAATGATGTGTTATATCACATTTTAAAATAGTATCCGTCCATCATGAGTGCCGGATAGGTATACAAATATTAAATAAAATAGACGAGGATATACCGATATACGACGACAAAACTCGTAGTTTGTAGGTACTGTAAATATATAATTTATATGTAATTAAATATTTCTGAAAAAAAATGTGCTATGTTTTGATTACCTATGGTATTTAATTAAGAATCTAAACTGAAAATTATAAACACCACAAATATTCATTGAATCATTTCTAATGATTGCAATTAACATCTAGAAAAGCACTGAAACCATGTGTTCATGATGTAAATAAATTAAAACGCATTGCCTAACAACAATGTTTATCCTCCACCTGATATATTATCATTACTTTCCACTTGGTACTGGCATGATCATATTAAATAAATTAAGTCCATATTAAAGTTAGTTATGCAAAATCAAATTGTTCAATTGTCAGAAAGAAAAAGCAAGATGATTGTGAAATATTGGTGACTGGTATGAGAGGGTACTTTAAATTCATTATTTTTTGCCCTACATTTAACCATTATGTATCTACGCATTATACTTTGGCGCCATCAATTTAACATCATATAATAATAAATGATACAATACCTATGTTATATTATTTTAATTCATTATATTGTAGGTTACCAGATCTCTATTTTATATATTAACTTTGTACCAACTGCAACCAATTTGGTAATTTTTGCGTCATAAAACGTTTCATAACTTGTTCTAATATAATATAAGCACTTAATAAATGTATTAGGTATAGTTAACAGTGTTAACACACACATATACATATATATATATATGTTACGGGTAATGTTAACATTCGGATAATGTCGACATTATCCGGCTAATGTCGACATTAGCCATCCATGTTGGCTAATGTGTAATTTTTCGTTTATAAACTTGAAATATCAACATTATCCGGATAATGTTAACCTTAGCCAGTCAATTTTGGATAATGTTAAAAGTTATGTACTATTTAATTTATTTAAGTTTCATCACTGCTTGGTATATTAATTTAACGTGACCACTGACCCCAGCTTATCTTACCGATAATCAATCGATAATAATAGAAAAAATTCTGAAATTTGTTTGATAAATCAAGCTGAAAAAATGAAATTTAGGTTTATCCATAAGTTTCCCCCAGCTAACGTCGGAGATAGTGTGAGAGTCACTTTACCCGATGTCGACAGAGGACGAGCAGACCCAAAAAATATTTTATTTGCAGTTGTGGCTATTGAGGACGAACAATATTATAAACTTGGTAATAAATATGGTACTTTGCCACAGTTATATACCAGAAACCAGTTTGGTGTTTGTCCGATATCATTAATACCGCTTGATGAGGTGGTACCTATAGAAAAATCATTGAGGGAAATTGCTGGTCTAATATCAGACGGTAGTGGTGGTCAAGGATACAAAAGGTGTTCATGCAAAGGTAAATGTGATACCAATCGTTGTAAGTGTAAATCATCTAATATTTTGTGTGATTCAAAATGTCATGGAAGTATGCCATGTAATAATAAATAATAACACATTCATTCTATTCTTAAATACTATTTAAAAAAAAATCTTAAAATATAAAATAAAATTTAATATTGTATTATTAGTAGATTAGGTTATTAAAAATGAAAAATAAGCTCATTTAAATTATACTCGTATTATGTATTTTATGGTAATTAGTAATTATTGTATCTTTTTTTTTTGGCATATGGTTAATTGTATCTAAAATATATTTAATATTGCTAATAATTTAAAATGATTTCCTATCATGCATGATGCAATTTTATAGTTGTTAAGACATTATCCATAAGTCCTTGGCTAATGTCATATTAACCGGTTAATGTTAACATTAGCCGGCATTTAATAATATTCATGGCGGGTAATGTTAACATATGGCTAATGTCGACATTAGCCGGATAATGTCGACATTATCCGAATGTTAACATTACCCGTGACATATATACATATGCCTTATGCTTCTAGTTAAATGACCATGAATAATTTACTGATGACCGGGAATAAAATTTGGAACCTTATAGGTGGGAACCGGAGGAATCTTGACGACCAACAAGCCAAGGAAAATACGTTTAAATGTAAAATACATTTTAATAAAAACTACAAATATTAGATACCTACTAACTTATACTATTATAATGAACAGAAGAACTTTGAAATACAAATTAAAATATTTGTAAGAATAACACTATAATAATACTAAGATAATAGGTAGGTATTATTGAATAACTAACTAAATATGTACCTAATTAAATATTAAGTAAATAATATAATTAAGGTACAGGTACCTTACCCATATTATTTTGATGACCGTTCAATTCTTGAAATTTCGCACGTTCAGCAATCCCGACAGCATTCAGCCCATCATGAAGTTTATTTAAATCCTAAAATCGTTATTTTTGTATAACTAGTTACATAACATCTGTATATTGTGCTAATATAATATAAAAAAAAAAACACTGGTAATTAGTATAAATGGTATATCTATCGATATGCTGATACTTTAAAATTTAAATTATTGACTATATAAAATATTAAAATATAAATAATGCATATAATTAGTCCATCGATGTAACTAAAGAGATAAATACTGGGGTGCTAAAATTATGGGTAGGTAGTAGGTAGTAGGTACCAATCAATTTTTAAAGCTATAGATACCAACCTAAAAGTATACATTTTAACATCGTTAAGTGTAGTTGGTCTAAATTATTAACTCTTATTTTTAATAATTATTTAATAATTAGATATTATTATCCAGAGGACACCACTTTAAAAATTCTCAGTACCTAATAAGTGGGCGACCAATGAAAGGTTAGCTAACCTAATAATAATAAACAGCGATATTTTGATTTTTGTTTGTTATTTAGTGTTACTAAAAAAAAAAAATAAATAATTAATACTATATAGACAAAAATATTATTAGCTTTTTTTTTTATTTCAAAATTATAGATATGTGTAACTATAAACTATTTTATCAATGATTAATTTTGTCTTTTTCTTACAGATGGTACAGTATCAGAATGGAAAAGAATATTGGACGTTAACGTTATAGCATTAAGTGTTTGCTCACGCGAGGCAGTGAGATCCATGAATAGTCGCAACTTAGAAGATGCTCACATTATTCATTTGAGCAGGTACAAAGAAAAAATATAAAAACAAACCATTAATTATACTTGTATACAGTTTATTTAATTTACTATTTTATACTGGCATATAGTAATCTAGCGCATTATGTTCCTTCATATGGTCCATTCCACTTCTATTCTGCGACCAAACATGCTGTAAGAGCGCTCACAGAAGGGTTGCGACAAGAATTAAGAGCATTGAAAAGTTCAATCAAGGTCACGTGTCTCAGTCCTGGTCTTGTGAAATCGTCAATTTTCAAGAACTCACTGGGAGAAAATTTTGATAAACATATATATGAAGCGTACCCCAGTATTTCTCCAGCAGATATAGCATCTACCATTGAATTTGTATTGGCCACTCCTCCACACGTACAAGTAATATCATTTATTACAAATTTATTTTTTATTAATACATTGTTTTTGAACAATACTAAAATCTTTTTATTTAAGTATACTCCTTATGTTCATAAGAATTTTTTTGATTATCATCAAATTATCAATACAACCATGCAATTCAGTTTATTTATTAATAAAACATTTGAAAAATGTATATTTTCAAATTATTTCCAGATATTTAAGTAAATATAGTTTATAAATTTAAAACAAATTATTTCAAGAAACTATTTTTATTTATTTTTATTTTGGCCTTATAAAATATAAGTATTCCATAAAAAGTACAATAGTCCTGGAATCAAACAACCTTCTCTTAACTGTTGCAATATAGGCTCATTAATTCTTAAAAACTAACATAATTTTCATACAATGGATTTAAAAATACATTTTACTTTTACTTATTCATATTTCGTATAGTGATATACAAAATGCTTCTATGTAATAATTGCAATCACTCAAAAATATATAATATACATACATATATATTATACATTATACAAAATACAAATAATGCAAAATAATAGCAAAAGAAACAACAATTATTTTAATAAATAAAAAAAAAAATAGTATAAAATGGTTTTCAGAGAAAAAAGTATGTATATATTTATATATATACACGAAATTATAAAAGAATAAAAATAATTCATAAAATAATATGTTAAAATGTAAGGAAAACAATACAATTAATGGATGATTACAATCTACAAATGTCTTCTGTACAGTGATTGATTTTAGTTAAGTAAAATGTAAATTTTAAGTGAAAATGTTTAACAATACAAGAATAAATCGTATACTATAAAATATAATATATAAATGTTATCACAGTCACAACACAGAAGACTAATAATTAACATGATATCTTGCAAACACATTAGTTGGCATACAAAAACATTTTACACATTAAAATACAAAGTTTTGATTTATCATCAAAATGTATATTAACTCTTAGAGAACCATTTTCTAAAATGTCATGTATTAGAAAATAATAAATATTCAATGTACAATTTTTTTTATAGTTTAATAGTTAAATAATTTGTTTCAGGTGCAAGATATAATCATCAAACCTATAGGTTCAGAGGCATGATTGAAATTATACTCAAATCACAAGCACAATGTCATAGATTTATCTCAAAATACAATAAAAATGTATTGGTAAATCATATTTTTCATTAAAATACAAAGTCTATGATTTATAAATATAAATATGTATATATAATACATACATAATTATATATATATATTTATAAGAAAAGGAAAAAACAATAATAAAATAATGATTCTTAATATTACAATATTTTACTTGATATTTACAAAAAAATTTAAATTAAAATTAAATCAATAGTTAGAAGAAAACAAAATAAACATTGATGTTCATTAGATAATTTAAATATGTAATACATAAAGTAAATCACAGTTACTAAACTCATTTGTGCTATTTAGTTAAGTTATTTTGTAAGTGATATCCTTAGATGTTAATGTTATATATAAAAATGTTTATTTTGTGTTTTATACAACAACCTAGAGTTCAATCACATTTATCCATTGGTTTTATTACCAGCTGTTATATAAATTATGCAATACATAAAATAAATATATGTATGCAAAAAATCTAAACAAAAATTAAGTTTGTTTTTTCTTTCTTTCTTGTTATTTTTTTTCTCGTTTCTTCAAGTTTACCATATTAATCCAATCAAATAATGAATAATCCTGTAATGAGCATATGACGATGCAATAAAAAATAGATGTAATATTAGGAACCGTACGCAATCCTGTTGGATAACAGCTGTTTGACGTGATCCTTTATGACTGGGGAATTCACCAGTAGAATAGAATGTCTCCAGAAGACGTTCTTTTTCTTCCCAGCGATCAAACAACCATTTAGTCATTTCTTCTTGTTCTCTAGGAACCTGAAAATTTTATTTTATTATGACTAATGCAATCAAAATGATATTTTTAAAAATCGACATACAAGTGAACTAGGAAATAATCTATAGTACATATGTGTACGGCAAGCTCTTCTTTGACCCATAATAATAGTGGGTAAATCTAAAGGTCTTCCTTCTGAATATGCAACTGTTATATCCAAAATCCATGCTAATTTGTCAGTATTTTCATCTATAATTAAGTATTAAAATGAAATTAAGAGTTAGTAAAAAAAAAATGTTATTCTATGTTGGTAAAAAACAATATTGCTTTCAACAATAATATTAATACATATTTATATAAAAATTATTATTGCTTACTGAATTCGGTATTATTGTTAGTCACACCACCATATTTTGTTTGTTTTGGTGAAAGTTCATCAATGATAGCTGAAAAAGCTCCTAATCTTGGTAATGTAACATGTTCTAATAAAGGTAAATTATTTTTCTGCGCATACCTTTAATTAATAATTATTAATCAATATTTATATGCTTAATAATCTAATTATTTAATTGATTTACCTTTGACTAGCTTCTCGTCTTTTTCTTAAAAATCCTCCTTCTGGAAATAAAATAATTAATTTTCGTTGACGAGGTAAATATGATCCACGGATATGAGTCCTTAATTCTTTAACAGCTTGTTCTCTTTGATCTTTACCCTAATAAAAATTAAATAGTGAACAATAGATTTTTGAAGTTAAAAAGAATAAAAAAAGCAATATTTACCGATAAGATAAAAAAATCCTGATGAATAATAGAAACAATACCAAAATTAGTAAACTTGAATATCCTGTCCATGATCCACATAATATTAGGTAACACTCCGGCCTTGGAATTGAAATTTGTCATTAGCATTGGCACATCTGCTGTAGACTGATGATTAACTAACACTAGAGTACGATCATTCAAACACAATCTAATATCATCACCCATTTCAACAACTATAAAAAAATTAAACATTAAATTTAAATATGTTTAATTAATTGAAATAAAAAACATATCATATTTTAAAAATCTAAAAATTAATCAATTTTAATAAAAGTTACTAAATAAAAGTTTTTATTAAAAAGAATATTTACAATCTATACCAAGGATAGGCATACAAAATACTAGAGGGCCAATTTTTAGAAAATTAAAATCTAGCAGGCTAAAATATAGAAAGCAAAAAAACAAGTTATTTAAAATATGCATTTTAATTAGCATTTATTATGTTAATAATGTAAATTTAATTTTTAACTTTAATATTGTATGATGTAATTTTAAAATGTAGCACGGGTCAGATAAAAGGCTCACAGGCCGCCTGGTGCCCACCCCTGATCTATACTGATATATGATAATGAAAAAATTAGAAAAATAATTAACTAAAAAAAATATGTATGAAGAGGGGACAACCCAGCATCTCTGAGATAATGAAAGCAAAATATAGAGCCAAAATTAGGGTATTCAAAAATAATGAAGTTTTATGTGAAATAGATAATAGAAGACATTACTTACTGTCATAACCAGCTGACCAAGACCACATAGAAACCATAGCTAATAACCAGTGGAAAAATAAGCCTTCAAGTTTCCAATATAGATTTGGATGAATTTTCCGCAAAGGGAAAAATATTATCATCCAAACACAGTATGTTGGTATACAATAAATATTGTTTATGAGTACAAATAATATGCGGATAATAACTTTGCAGGTTACTGTAGCTCTAAAAATAAAATAAAAATATTATAATTAAAAATAAAATATATATTTATAAAAATACTAAATTTCAACAATCAAAGGAATACATGATAAAAATAAAATGAGAAATAGCGAATAGATTAAAAATACAATATTTATCAGATAGAGTAGTATTAGTAAAGCAAGAATCAGTGAAGTATTTGACTTAATGAAAGGAGGTAGATGATATTTTGTTTGTGAACTATATGCAGTATAGTTTACTGAAATAATCTAAAAAACAACAATGGCATTCACAAAAGACTGGGGACTGTCTACCTTAATAAATGCTAGTTCATAAACAGATTCCAGAGCCCCAGCCTGGTAGGTGGTGATGGGGTTTTTTTTTTATATCTAGTGGCTAGTTTATATGGTTCAAGTAAATGAAGATTAGTAAATTACATAATAAGAATTTATTATAACAACATGTGTATTGTGTATAGTGTATATAGTAATGCAATAGTAAATATCTCATTGATAATTAAATGTATATGTACAGTTAATAATTATCTAGAAGTAACATTGAATATATTTTTATTTACCGAAAACTGGAAATGAAAAACAATACTAAGAATACTAATATGATAATTTCTAAACTATAATATCAAATACATAACATTATCGGTATAATGTTGATTTTAAAATAAATTTAAGAAAGTTACAACAATAATTATTTATCAAACATAAAAAAACAAATAGTAAATCAAAAGTTACAAATAAATAAAATTAACATTATATTCTGTTAAAGTAAGGAAACACCGTCAGAGACAACCAGTATTTTGGTGGACAGGGGGGGGATTAGACAACATATGTTTGTCTACACCTAACTTAGTCATCTATCATCTTAGTTGCTCACCAACTATGCTACTTAACTTAAACAAGGTATTTTTTTAACTATTTTATTTAGTTTTCAACAAATCGAACAGAGTATCAACAATGATAATTATTTTCACAACAATATTTTTTCATTTGTCATTTTACAAATAAACTATATTTACAACAGAAAGATTGTAAAAAAAAATACTAGATACTAACCATGAGTAATAAAATATATATATTATGTATTATATAATATATAATATATATTGAAGCTAGAGGATTTTATGTAAAATGCAAAATAATAGTAAATGACAATTTATTAATAATAATAAAATACCTTATATAATCTTATTTTAATCAGCCTTGGAAATAAAATAATTATTTAGATTATTTAGAAATATCTACTTAACATTATCCTCTAGAAAACATAAATATATTCATATAATATATAATTTATTTTTTAATTTAATTGTTTGATACAATATACTTCAAGGTTTGTTATGTTGTGGTAGGTATGTAAAACATTAAAAACAACTTCATATTTAGAGATTAGTTAGACGTGGACATTAATTGTTATGAAAGAATTATTAGATTAGGTACCTTTAAATTAAATTTCATGTATATATATATATATATATATATATAACATAAAAGGGGAATGAAATGTATTGAAAAACAAATTTATTTTATTTATTTTGAAGTGGAAATTATATAAAATTTAATGAATAGATAACGATAACATAAAATCTAGATATGAATTATTATAAAATAATTAAACAGGCAATTTTAGATATTATTAATAATATAATTTGAAACAAAGTAGTAAAAAAGGCTCTTTAAATATTAATTACTAAGTATACAATTTTTAGAAAATTGAATTACAGTTTGATTACTAAGAATCATTGTATTGATATAAATAAAGAATAAATTGTTAAGTATATTTCAAATTAGTACTATAAAAAAATCAGATAGTTAAATATCAACTATAGGGTATATAATACATAGTAACGGCTCTTAACCTTTTGTAGATCACGGACCCTTGATCAAAGATTTTCAGAAATCACAGACCTCCTTACCAACTTTTTTCGAATACTTTTCTTTTACAATATGTCATGTATTGACGTATGTTATATGTTAAGGCTGCTGCGGACTTCCAACATGGGTATCACAGAGCCCCAGGGGGCACGGACCACAGGTTTTAAGAACCGCTGATATATAGATTTTGACTGAAAGTGTGTAAAATATTTCGATAATAGGTACTTTAGGCAGAAATCTTAATTTCTTAATTAATTCTGTTATTTTACTCTGAAGTATTTATTCTGTTAATATATTTTATTTATAACCAATGAATATACAAATTGTAGATATAATTGTAAATTATAATAAACAAATTATTATTATTACCATAATAATTATATTTCTTTCTTTTCCAATCAATAAATAAATATAAAACAAGGGAATAAAATATAAAAAGTTATAGGTAAAAATGTATTTATATAGGGGATATGAATTTATTGATGTTATTTATTATTGGAGTAAATTGTATAGTTAATGCTTAAGTTTTCCAATTCCATAAAAATTTATATAAGTATACAAAGTTCAAGTTTAGTCAAGAAAATTATAACCTCTAAAGACTAACTAAAATTGTTATAAATAATACTTTTAGTATATGAATTCTGTATCATGTTTTGTCTTCTTACCTACCTTAATAAACTAAATTACCTACCAAAAGTGAACAAATTATAAATGTTAG